GGGGGTCCAGCGGAGTGTGGTGGTAAACGGTCTCCGGCGAGACCTCGCGGCTCCCCCGGGGGCTGCGAATCGTGCAATTGTCGCCACTTCCGTGGCCTCCTGGGATTCCCATCGGAGTGGGGTGGTAAACGGACCTGTCGAGACCTCGCCGCTCCATGGGGGCTGCGAGCTGCGCAACTGTCGCCACTTTCGTGGACTCCTTGGGGGTCCCAGCGGAGTGGGGTGGTAAACGGACCCCGTCGAGCCCTCGTGGCTACCTGGGGGGCTGCGACCTGTGCAACCGTCGCCACTTTCGTGGCCTCCTGGGGGGTCCAGCGGAGTGGGGTGGTAACCAGACCCGTCGAGACCTCGCGGCTCACTGGGGGGCTGCGAGCTGTGCAAATGTCGCCACTTTCGTAGCCTCCTGGGGGGTCCAGCGGAGTGGGGTGGTGACCAGACCCCGTCGAGGCCTCGTGGCTCCCTGAGGGACTGCGAACTGTGCAACGGTCGCCATATTTTCTTGGCCTCCTAGGGGGTCCAACGGTGTTTAATGGTAAACGGACCCCGTCGAGACCTCGCGGTACCCTTGGGGGCTGCGAACTGCGCAACTGTCGCCACTTTCGTGGCCTCGTGGCGGGTCCAGCGGGGTGGGCAGACCCCACCGAGACCTAGCGGCACCCTGGGGGCTGCGAACTGTGCAACTGTTGCCACTTTCGTGACCTCCTGGGGGGTCCAGCGGAATGGGGTGGTAAGCGGACCCCGTCGAGACCTCGCCGCTCCCCCGGGGGCTGCGAACTGTGCGATTGTCGCCACTTTCGTGGCCTCTGGGGGGTCCAGCGGAGTGGGGTGGCAAGCGGACCCCGTTGAGACTTCGCGGTACCCTTGGGGGCTGCGAGCTGTGCAACTTTCGCCACTTTCGTGGCCTCCTGGGTGGTCCAGCGGAGTGGGGTGGTAACCAGACCCCGTCGAGACCTCTCGGCTCACTGGGGGGCTGCGAACTGTGCAACCGTCGCCACTTTCGTGGCCTCCTGGGGGGTCCAGTGGAGCGAGGTGGTGAACAGACCCCGTCGAGACCTCGCGGCTCCCTGGGGGGCGGCTGCGAACTGTGCAACGGTCGCCACTTTCGTGTCCTCCTGCGGAGTCCAGCGGAGTGGACTGGTAAACAGACCCCGTCGAGACCTCGCGGGTTCCTGGGGCGCTGCGTTCTGTGCAACTGTCGCCTCTTTCGTGGCCTCCCGGGGGGTCAACTGTGCAACCGTCGCCACTTTCGTGGCCTCCTGGGGGGTCCAGTGGAGCGAGGTGGTGAACAGACCCCGTCGAGACCTCGCGGCTCCCTGGGGGGCGGCTGCGAACTGTGCAAGGTCGCCACTTTCGTGTCCTCCTGCGGAGTCCAGCGGAGTGGACTGGTAAACAGACCCCGTCGAGACCTCGCGGGTTCTGGGGCGCTGCGTTCTGTGCAACTGTCGCCTCTTTCGTGGCCTCCCGGGGGGTCAGCGGAGCTGGGTGGTAAACGGACACCGTCGAGACCTCGCGGCTCCCTGGGGGGCTGCGAGCTGTGCAAGTGTCTCCATTTTTCGTGGCCTCCCGGGGGTTCGAGCGGAGTCGGGTGGTAGTAAACGGACCCCGTCGAGACCTCGTGGCTCATTGGGGGGCTGCGAACTGTGCAACTGTCGCCCACCTTGTGGCCTCCTGGGGGGTCCAGCGGAGTGTGGTGGAAGACGGACCCCGTCGAGACCTCGCGACTCCTTGGGGGGCTGCGAACTGTCCGGCCTCCTGAGGGGTTCAGCGGAGTGGGGTGGTAAGGGGAACCCGTCGAGACCTAGCCGCTCCCTGGTGGGTTGCGAGCTGTGCAACTGTCGCCACTTTCGTGGCCTCCTGGGGGGTCCAGCGGAGTGGAGTGGTAAACAGACCCCGTCGAGTCCTTGCCGCTCCCTGGGTGGCTGCGACCTGTGCTATTGTCGCCACTTTCGTGGCCTCCTGGGGTGTCCAGCGGAGTGGAGTGGTAACCAGACCCCGTCGAGTCCTCGCGGGTTCCT